CGATGACTTTTTTACCTTTCAGTATTCTTGAATGGTGGTGTTGTTAAGTACCTGTACTTAACAGCACCACCATTGATCTCGTAAAATGTGTAAAATTCTTAGGGCTTGTTGCAGACAATTCTCTGAAATGGGACATGCATATCGACGCTTTGTCCAAAAAATTAAGCTCTGCCTGTTTTGCATTAAGATCTGTTTCTAAGTAGCTTAACTTGTCAGTGGCTAGAACTGTTTATTATGCACTTTTTGAGTCGCACCTCAGTTATGCCCTTCCATTCTGGGATACGTGTTGTGCGACTCAATTTGACCGCATTTTCAAGCTCCAAAAGAAAGCTTGAAAAAAATAAAAATATTAACTCTTCCTTTGTTGCCTTCCGTTTGCCTAATACGTAAGCATGTATCAGCTTCTCAAGAAAGGCCATCTCACCCTTGTCCACTCAGGAACGCGGAGCAAGATCTTTATCTACCTACCCCACGCTCAGAGTTAGTTAAAAGTTCAATATTATACAACTCGAAAAAAATGCACCTGCCATTTGAAAAAAAAACAAACCAAATCCATAACATCATTTTCTTCATTTCGCAAAGCATTGAAATCTTATTTACTAGACAAGGCTTTCTACGCCGTAAATGACTTATCTTTTGATAATCGAATTTGATCTTATAAACACTGGTCTAATGTTTGCTATTGCTATATTTACCAATGACATCAAAATAAATTTATTTAGAAGTCATTGATATTTACTAAAAACTATTTTTGAATATTATTTATATTTTTTTTTATTTTTAGTCTTTGACATTGTAAACATTTATAAATGTTTATTTTAAACAATAAGACTGACAATGTTATTTGTATAATGTTTTGTATTCTCTTTTGTTTGTTTGTTTGTTTACTTTGTTTAGTTTACCTTTGTCTACAAATCATGACAATGACATTGTAAACATTTATAAATGTTTATTTTAAACAATAAGACTGACAATGTTATTTGTATAATGTTTTGTATTCTCTTTGTTTGTTTGTTTGTTTGTTTACTTTGTTTGTTTAGTTTACCTTCGTCTACAAATTGTAAATTTTTTTGACAATAAAGACATTTATTTAATAATTTATTTATTTGAAAGTTTCGGCTGCTTGGCCTATACATACATAAGTACTTAGTCTTTGACGTACTTACCAACAACCACCAATTTTCATACTCGTTTAAAAGTCTTGTTGTCATATATTGTAGATCTAGTCTTCCTTATCTTGAGCCACTATCACTTGATCATCTGCAAAATGAAGGTTATATAGAATTGTTTGTTCGTTACGTGGTATTCCCATTCCTCTGCAGGATCTTCTCCATTTTTCTAGAGCTTCATTCAGATAGATCTTAAGTATTAATTATTCTTGATGTTGCTTCATTATATTGCTGTTTAACTGCTTCTATCGCTGTTGTTTATAGAGGATTTTTCGAAAATTTTCCAGAGCTTTTGCATCGGAACGGTGTCATACGCTTTTGTGAGGTCAACAAAGAGCAGATGTACATTTCTATCGGTTGCTACTTTTTTTCATTTATATATACCAGAGTGAATATATGGTCCATACACGATCGTCCCGTACGGAACCCTGTCTGTTCTTCTATCTCATACGGCGCATACTCCCTTTCAATTATATTTCGCAGTATCTTTCCATATAGTCTACTCTATAATTGGAGCATTCATCTCTTTTTTCCTTTTTGTGGATTGGTGTTATCCACGCTCCTTTCCAAGCTAGTGGTATTGGCTCACCGTTTATATATCTTGTCATTAGTTCTTTCAGGTGCACCATTTACTAATGACATCATATTTTATAAAATGACGATTTCGAAGCCAACTTTGTCTCCAATGTTTTGGATTGTATGGCTTTTTACGAATACAATCGGCAATAATATTAGATTTATATTATATCGGAAATATTATTTTTCTCTGTAGATATACAATACAGGGCGAGTCTAAATATTTTCAGGGCTGTTAGAAAAAATATATAAAAGAAATATATTTGCTCTTCGCCGTTTTTTCAAATAAGTCCAAAATAAACAAGTTATTCAATTTTTAAACTTAAAAAAAATATTAATGTCAGAAAAATGAAAGTCACAAAATTATTTCTGTATGTTCATGAGTTTTGGTGCCGTAATCATAGGGTAACGCCGTAATCATGATAATATCAGAGATTAAGAAATTATACCGTGGGAAAATTTACGGTGAACAGGCGGTTCTAAAAAGTTTTCTAAAATATACAGGAAAATTAAAAAAAAAATACTAATTTCAACATCTTTTTTTGCGAAAGAAAATCTCAAAAACGTGTTCTTGGGATCGAAATATACCATCCCTTAAAATATTTATAATTATTTAAGGCTCACCTTGTATATCTAAAATAGATAATATTAAAAAATCTCATGCTCTACTTGCACAGCTTTTTCCACTAATTTACTAATTGATCACAAGAGTAAAAATGTTGTTAAAATAATTTTCTAAAACATCTTGTATTGTTTCAAAGCAACACCATCAAACAACATAACGTTTTCTAAAAATCTCACTCTGAACAATTAACAAATTACACGCCTTATATAACTGGATGTAAAATTAATTTGCTCTCATTCTATTCTTAATTTTTTAATTATTTCCTATAATTAATAAAAACTGTATGGTTTTGTTCGCTGCTGTAATGATAAAGTGCTATTACACCGGGTTATTTAAGATGGATTGATCTATCTAGCATTACGTAATGATGTATTAAATTTGATTTGCTTGAAAATGCCGCAATTAATCACAGCGTGTAAGTTGTATGAAATGATTAATTAATAGAAACGGTTGATTTATTTCAATAATCTTGGTGATATTAGATTTAAAAATTATTCTGCTAGCTACTAGAATATCTCATATATAATTTACTTTTTCTTTTAATTTTTAAAAAATTTAGAACATGTAGCTGTTGTAAGTAGAGAAAATATAATATGCGGTATTACGATTATCATCATCATTACCACTCTCATCTTATTCAACCATTACCAATTATAGTGTAGCATACTTTGTTTATTGTTGGCTATGCGTTATTAAACCAGTTATAATTGTTGGCTATGCGTTATTAAACCCTGCTAACTTCCTAATATCGTGGTTCCACCTCAAGTTTGGTCTTCCTCTAGGTCTCTTAACCCTCCGGAGGTCGCGCGTGGACTCACAGTCCGCAGGTACGATAAATCGAAAATCTGGAAACATCAGATGCTGCGCCGCTTAGTATCTCCCTGTCTCTGCATATTTTATGAGAAGTGTACGTTTGCGCATCGTTTAGGGTAGTTAGTATCTTTTTATACTCATATGCGGAGTGTCAGCCCGCGCGACCGTTGGTGATACTATTTTTACATCAATAATTTTATAATGTCGAACAAGGTTAAGTTATTTTACTGATTTGTTTGACTTGAAAATGAGGAAATTGTGATAAAAAAGTGAATAATTGACTTAACGACTTAACAGCTCATGCAAGACTGTTTGAACGAAGATAACGAATTAACTACTGAACATGACGATGAAAAGGAAGAACGATAAGTGGATATTATCGAAAGACAAGGACCCAAAACAAATTCTGATACTGAAAAATATATTTCAGATTCTGAAGCACTGAACACAGTATTACCAGATGAAAATACGCTACTGAATTGTGGTGCGCCGGAAAGTGAAGGCGGGAAAACAGACTAACTCGTTATTCTTTGTACAGTCACACAATTTTGTATGTTTTGAGCACACACAAATATTCTGTAATCACTGTTATACGTACTGGTTTTTTCATTATTATTAATTATTTTTAGATTTGAATAATATTAAATATTAATAAATTTTATTAATTTGTTTTTTGCGTGTTTCATGTTTTTTCATGTTATATGTATATTTTATGTTTATGTTTGGTATTTGTAATAAAGCAAGTCAATAAATAAATGTTATTTTGATTATCATATTCTTTTATGTCTTTACACCAACTCTTAAAACCTCTTGAATTTAGCATTAAAACTAGAATTTAGCATGCCTAACCTAACCTCCGAAAGGTTGCTTCCACGTGGGTGCTAATCTAATACATCCTGCCCATTGCCATTTGACGGATTTGTCTCTGTGGATGACATCTATTATCTGGGTCTTTTGGGGTATCCACTCTATTCTTTTACAGTCTCTCTTGGTTACTCCCAGCCTATTTCGTTCCACTGAGTGTTGTGCGATCTGCAGTTTCCTTATGATGTCCGTTTTAAGTGTCCAGATTTCGCATGCATAGGTGATGACTAGTAGTACACATTGGTCGAATGCTTTCTTCTTTAAGTGTTATTTGAATTGAAGAGTTGCATTACATCCAAAATACATTAATATACTTCTTCTTCAAGTGTCATATTCTTAGTGAACGTTGACGACTGCCATGGTAAAAATATCTCTGTATCGCTCTCGATCTTGCGCTACATGGAGTAATTCATCCGCTCTCACGCCTGTCCATTGCCGCAAGTTCCTCAACCACGAAAACCTTTTGCTCCCAATCCACTTCTTTCCTTCGATTTTTCCGTTAAGGATTAGTCGTAGAAATTCATATCGAGGTCCTCTAGTTATATGGTCAAGGTATTCAAGTTTCCGTCGCTTGATAATATTCAGAAGTAGTCTATCGTGCCGTAAAAGAATTTCTTTATTTCTGATTCGGGTGGTCCAAGATATTAAATGCGAAATCAGCCTAATATCTTTGTCATCTAGCTGGATGTTCTGCAGACTTGATATTAGCTTATTGTGCTGGAGACGATCGAAGACTTTTTCAAAATCAATAAAGCATAGGTATACCGGTCTTCTTACTTCCCAGCACCTCTGCAGAAACGTTTCCATGATAAATAGTGCTTCCCTGGTTCCCATGCATCGTCTGAAACCATATTGCTCTGAACTCAGAGCTTCTTCGCACTTGTTGCTAATTCTTTTTTAGAGAATGTGTAGAAGTAGTTTGAGCACATGACTCATTAGACTGATAAGTCTACAGTCTGAACATTCTTTAGCATTTGTTGTTTTAGGCAAAGGAATGAAGACAGATTTTAGCCAGTCTGCTGGAATATGACCAGTATCGTATACCTGATTAAACAACACACTAAGTTCATTTATATTTTCATTGTTTAACAATTTTAGCCATTCATTATATATTTGATCTGGTCCACTTGCTTTATTGTTTTTGGTTTGATGTATGGCTTTTTCCACTTCAGATTTTAAAACTGATGGGCCTGTTTCTGTCTTTAAGTCTGACATGTCTTCTCTACTATCTTAAAATAGGTCTTTGATGTATTGATACTAAAATGTACGTAATACTAATATGTAAAATATACTAAAAATGAATAAATATGCAATAATGAAAAGGGATTAGTTATAAAGTTATGTCTTTTATATTCATTGAAATTACTGTTTCATGAAAAGAACAAAAAAATGTAGTTTTGATCAGTGGGAACATAATAAGTATGCTTCAAAAAGTTTCAAGTCATTCTTATAATCTCATTTTAATTTTAAATTGCGTTTCGATCCTTAGTTCCTGATAAGTCATATGTTGTAACTGAAACTGTTCGTCAGCACTGATTCTTCGGTTCGTTGAATATTCACCTTGTTTTGAATGGAGATCTCAAAATGATAGGACTGAATGATTCTCGTTTTCTTCTGTTCGTCTGTTGTTAAGAAAGCAACTTCATTATTATTGGTTAATATCTGAATGAATAAAGCTATAAACTAAACAAAAAATATGTTATAAGGCAGATGGTAAGTACTGAAACTTTTTTTTTTCATAATACAAAAAAACACAGTTTTACTTAAAAATACAGATCTAATCATCTGATAATGATATGCATGATAATGCTAAGATGGTTAGCGAGACGCCCATACAGTGTTAGAAATAACGTGTTTTGGTGCATTGTGATGAATGATGAACTAGTGTTTTATTTTGCTGTTGTTTGGATTTAAATTTGAATCGGATCAAGGGCTAAAAAAGTGAAGCAAATCAAAACAAACAACGAAAAAGGTAACAAAGTTCATGTTATTTTTTTCCAGTTTTTCAAAGGGATTACCCTATATTTTATGTCATAAATTAACGTGGTATTTATCCAAATTTACATATTTCGGCCTATTTCTACATCCAAAATCGATGATATATATTTTGCTTTTCAGTTTAATAATGATTATTAAACTTATTCTAAGTGCAACTAGGCTGTTATTATAATTTTATTTCATAATGAGTGAAAATCAACAAAAACAAATTTCATGTTAAACAGAAAATATTGAAAACAATTTTAATTATTTCTCACAACTAATAGTCTGGATTGCCTCCTCGAGCCTCAATGCAAGCTGTGAGACGACGTCGACGTGTCATGCTCTCAATTAAGTTGTCCAGAAGATGTTGAGAAATGGCTTCCCATGTTTCTCTCGCAGCAATTTTCAATTCATTTAAGGTACGGGAGGGGGTTCATTCCTTTTGGCAATATGGCGTTTTAGCATGTCCCAAGCATGCTCGATCACATTCATATCTGGAGACATCGGTGACCACCACAGTTTTCTTATACCCTCTTCGTCACAAAATTCGCGAGCCGCTAAAGTGCGATGGGGAGAAGCAATATCGTCCATGTAAACAAATTCATCCCCCACTGCCTCTCGAAATCGACGTACAATAGGCTCTAAAACGTCTCGAAGATATGAGGCACCTGTCATTGTGCCATCAATATAAGAGGAGTTCGAGCTCTGTGCATTATACCTGCCAATGTCATAATTTTTCCCCCTTGAAACGGGACACGGGGTTGAGCTGCATTCAAGCGCGCTCGTCTTCCAGATGCTCTTCAGACCAAAGTTCGTCTCGAGTCTTGTTTAATCACTAAACATGACGAAATTCCAATTAGTTCCATTTGCTCTCATCTCCTCAGTCCATTGTAGTCGCGTAATTTTGTGCTGTAAATTAAGCTTCGAAACACGTAGAGGCCTTCTTAAATGTAATCCTCTGTCATGGAGTCTTCTTGCTATGGCCTTTCTTAAAACATATACTCTTTCAAGGCGAGCTAACTCATTTTTAATAGCAGTACTAAAAAGCAGGGATTGCGTCGTACAATTAGGGATATTTGACGGTCTTGCACAGCTTTAGTAACTCGCTTTCTACATCTTCCAGGCCGGTCTGTAACCTCGTTTGTCTCTTTGATTTTTTTTAATATTCGCGAAACATCGCTTTGGTTAATTCCTACAATTTCAGCTATTGCAACTTGCCGGTAGCCCTGTTGAGATAATATTACTCTTCTGATTCTATTAAACTGTGAAATAATGTTTCTGGTAATTTAGAGTCAATCCACTGGTCAAATTTCTTCTGAAACACAAGAGACCACAAATGGAGATGTGCAAGAATTTGTAATAATATTGGGTCTGAACGATAAACATTGTTTATCATATCCATTTTAACAAAAAAATGTTTATTACAGATTATCAAAGCTATGCATAAAAAAAATTCTTTAAATTCCTTTCCGTATATTTTTAAACGATATATGCAATAATTTTGGCCATGTGATATAGTAATTCAGTTAAAAATATACAGTTTTAATTCAAAAGCATGTTTGAAACACCCGATATAACGAGACAAAAGAAAATAAAAATTTGCGTAGCTATTTACCACAGGTTTTATATAAAGCTAATGTGAATAATATGATCTAGGGTTTCAGGGCAGGAACTCTGACTAGTTTAGACGTAAACTCCAACAATTACCTTCGCATAAATAAACCGAAGAACACCGCCCCTGTCTCTAAAAATTACTTCCACGCTGACTTTAAGGTTTTTCAACACGCAATCCTCAAAAACTAATTAACCAGAACAAGATTTTTTATCAAGGTGTAGAGTAAAAAAACGAAAGGGTATATAATTAAGTAGGCCCCAGTTCTAGGAAGAACCAAGAACTGAGTTCGTCTATTACATCGGCCCGTTGGTTATCTAACGTGCTGGAATGTTATTAGGCGTAGAAAAAAATACAGAACAACGTATCTGTGTTGTTGATAAACAAAACAAGTTTTGCGCTGTAGTGGCTTATCGAGATCTTCGAGAGATTCGTGAAACGGTAAGTAGGTATTGTAGGGTGATTATATTTCAACTGTTACATTTTTGGTCAATTTTATTTAATTTTACAGAGAAACTTTATGAATTTCTTTACTGTTAAAGTTATAACTTTTAAAAACTAAGTTTTTAAGTTATAACTCTATTTTTTAGCAAAAATTAAAGTTCAAGATGACTTTAGTGCAACTATAGGCTTGGTACATTTCAGTTGATTTAAAAAAATTCCGACCTCAGCGGTCACACGACAGAAATCAGAAATTTTCGATATGTTTTTCACGCCGCGCGCCGTCTCTGTTCATGTTGATCGCATTAAAATAATATTGAAATCGTGGCTTTGTCATAATAATTAAGTATTTAATTTTTTTGCGAGTGCAGTTGTTGGAACTATAAAGGTACATTCAGACTGAGAGCGTCGAGCGTAGCATCGCGTCCGCCCCATTGAACTCGAACCACGGCGCTCAGCGGACGCTAGCGCAACGCCAAACGCGACTCTGTCTGCCTGAACAGTCTAATTTAAGTTAAGTGAATTGATCCCATTTCGACACGCGGACGCGACGCAAACGCGACGCGACGCTCGACGCTCTCAGCCTGAATGTACCTTAAAACACTCAGGTACGAGGTTTGTGTGATGTAACGCTGTTTCGGGTAGTAAAAAATAAGTGATAAAGAATCCAATTGTTGTGACAATTTCAAATGATAATAAAATTGCTGAAAAAATGTTAACGCGTAAAGAAGAACGCGTTGTTGGGTGCAATAACATTCAATAACTCAACTTTCCCAGTTATTCAACTCTCCCGAAACAAAATTTTATAGCTTCATAGCTAGTTTCTCACACCGATTTAATCAAAAGCAGAAATGGATTAAAGCAGTTCGACGATACAAGTGACTAAACAAAGCACTCGTCACATAACCAAAAAAATTAAATAGGCATATATGTACAGGGTGGGTCAAATTCGACGCTTTTAAATGGAAACACCCTTTTCTATAGGAGATAGACAAAAACTAATATCGGTGTCTCGAGCTCAATTTTTGTCAAAAACATGATGGTGAAAACCGCATATCGATATCTGCTACCGTTTCGGAGTTACGGGGTGCTTTTCAAAAATGAGCATTTTTAACAAATCGCTGTAACTTTTTTGCTATGGAAAAGTTTGTATTTCTATCACAACATTTCCAAAGCACCTTTTTACGTAAAATTTAATGGTTTCAGTATAATTTTCTTAAAATTAATAATTTAAGATTTATCAACAGAAAAATTTATTTTTTATATGGGACACCCTGTATATTTTTAATTTATTGAAAATAATTTAAAATTACCTTTCCAAAAATACACTTGATATTTTGCTCGATTTCTCTTCGAGATATAGGGTATATAAAAATTCGCCCGCTTTAAATAAGTAGGTTTTGAATGGCACCGGCTGTAATGCAAACAAATTCTAGCTGTGAGCATCAATTAAAACGAAAATAATATTTGCTATGAGAGATGCAGAATTTTATAACAATTTAAAATATATTTAACCAACATCAACACATTTAAACTATATCTAATAACTATAAAAATAAATAGCAAACCAAAACATGAGATTTTGCTACAGGTGTTCGACATATCGACTGTCTTCTCTTATGGACAGACGGGGCAGTTTTTGAACATTTCTCGCGGAATTCATTAACTTAGTGAGGGTGAAAGATACCCTCGCATAACCGCTAAGTACTTCTAATTCTTGTTCAGATTATTAGGGCAATTTTAAAATAAGGACCTTTATTCTTCCGCAAAGATAAAAAATCAACTAAGGATAAGAGGCACTAAGTCCGGTGGCCTCGACGGCCAACGGCTGGGATCTTAGTTAGCTATTCAATTATTCTCGAAATTGGCTGTAAAAATTTGCTAATAATTTCAGCTTTCTGAGGCGGTGCCTCGTCTTGCTGGAAAAATATGTTTTCGAGTTCCATTAGGGGCAGGTCATCAATAATGGGTTCAAAGCCTACTAGTTAAAAGTGGCGAACTTATAAGAATTCTGTATTTCAAAGAGGACTATAACAAAATATCAAGTGTGCTATATTTTTGGAAAGGCAATTTTAACATCTTTTCACTTGATTAAAAGGGTGTCCCAAATAAAAAATCAATTTTTCTGTTGATAACTCTTAAATTATTAACTTTAAAAAAAATATACTTAAACCATTAAATT